TTGTGGGGTGCCTATACAGGGAAATCCAGCATGTCGGAGCAGACTTGATTAATTGATTAACCTAGCAGACTTGATTACATGGAAAAACAAGTTCTGACTTGATTAATCAAGTCTGCTAGAGCATGGAAATTTCCACACTCCAACAGGCTCCCCTGTCATGTGTATCAGCATCCCCGTGCTGAAAAATAGCAGTGGGGCGCTTTGAACTAAAGCTCATTCGATAAGTTTTAGTTGAAAATGCCCCACCACCATTTTTCAGCACAGGGCCCCTGATGCACATGACACTCAGGTGCTTTTTATTAGTTTGGCTTGCTAATGAAAGTGCCCCCCACACCTCCCAGTGCACATGTAAAAATGCCCATAGTCCCTATTTCCCTGGGCCAGCTCTCCTGGATCCCAAACTCCAATTATACAACTACTGTATTTCCTCTGAGAACAAAACTTATACGCTATGTTTTTTGACTGAGTCTTAATAAAATCCAATAAAACTGCTGAATCTCCACATTAGGGTCAATTTCTAATGTCAGAGTAACTCCAAAATTAAGAGTAACTGCAATGGAAATGAGGTTTTCTTCAAACAACTAGCAGAATTTTCCAGATCACAAGCCTTGGCTCTCATGTGGGATTTCAATCACCCTGACATCTGCTGGGAGGGAAACACAGCAGTGTGCAAGCAATCCAGAAAGTTTTTAGAGAGCTTTGGAGACAACTTCCTGGTGCAAGTGTTGGAGACACTGTGCTTTTCTTGACTGCTGCTCACAAACAGGGAAGAATTGATGGGGGATGTAGAATTGGATGGCAACTAGGGCAGCAGTGACCATGAGATGATCAAGTTCAGGATCCTGACAAAAGAAAGAAAGAAAGGACAGCAGCAAAGTATGGATCCTGGACTTCAGAAAAGCAGACTTTGACTTCCTCAGGGAACTGATGAGCAGGGTATCTTGGGAGGCCAGTCTGAGAGGGAAAGGAGTCCAAGACAGCTCGTTGTATTTTAAAGAAACTTTACTGAGAGTGCAGGAATGAACCATCCCAATGTTCAGGAAAAATAGCAAATATGGCAGGCAACCAGTTAGGCTTACAGAATCTTTCGGTTAGCTTAAATACAAAAAGGAAGTTTACAAGAAGTGGAAGCTTGGGCAGATGACTAGGGAGGATATAAGAATATTGCTCGGGCATGCAGGGATGAAATCAGGAAAGCCAAAGTGCAACTGGAGTTACCACTAGCAAGGTACATGAAGGGTAACAAGAATGTCAGCAACAAGAGGAAGGTCAAGGAAAGTGTGGGTCCCCTACTTAATGGGGGAGGCAACCTAGTGACAGATGATAAGGAAAAGGCTGACATGCTGAATGACCTTTTCACCTCAGTCTTCACAGGCAAGGTCAGCTCCCAGACTACTGCACCTGACAGCAGTTTGAGGAGAAGTGAGCAGCCCTCAGTAGTGAAAGAACAGGTTAGGGACTATTTGTTGGGGGAATAATAATATGTAGATTTTGGGGAGCCTTGGATCTGCAGCTGGAACAAGGCTTTAATCTGTGTCTTAACAAGAGCTGCTGGTCACAAGGCAAAATGATATATTAAAAATAACTTTGCAAATGCTTAGGCAAACAATTTTCTAACAATGGGATAGTGTGCAGGATGCATGATTCCTTATGTAAAAAGAACAAAATGTAGCCCACCAACTATCGTAAGGAGATAAAGCAGAAGCAAGACCGTGGAGATGAAGAAGGAGTCATCAAGACACCAGAAAGAACTAGCAAGTGACCGAAAGAAGTGGAGATCAAAGTTTTGAGCATGCGCTCTTAGCAGAGAGTCAGGTAAATGAATGAAATGCATAGGCAATCCCATGCTAATGAAGTGAACACTAAACAGAGGTGGAGCTTGAGATAGGAGGAGAAATGGGTGGAACAAGAGGAGGGACGAAGGTGGAGTGAATATTAAGGAGCATGAACCAAAATGTTAATAAGTATGAACCAAGGTATATAAAATGTGAAAAAACTAATGTTCAGGGCTGTTCCCCTGGTTTCACGGGCTGTGCATCTGTGATGGAGTTCGCCTGAAGCTGTCTCCATTCTGAATAAAGCTGTTGTGAGCAATGTGTGCTGGTGTTTGCTCCATGCTTGCTATGGCTAATGAGTAACATGAGTGATTGTCTTGTCATCTCCCTAGTCGTTGGGTGCCACAACGGAGTTGGGGTCTAACACTATTTAGAAAACCTGGTCATGTACAAGTCCATGTGGACAGATATGATGCACCTGAGGGTGCTGAGGGAATTGACTGATGTAATTGCAGAGTTGCTGGCCATTATCTTTGAGAACTTGTGGTGATCAGGAGAGGTCCTAGATGATTGGAAAAGGGAAAATATAGTGCCCATCTTTAAGGAAATGAAGAAGGAAGATCCAGGGAACTACAGATCAATCAGCCTCACCTACAGACGACTCAGCCTCACCTCAGTCCATAGATAAATCATGGAGCAGGTCCTCAAGGAGTCCATTTCTAAGCACTTGGAGGAGAAAGTGATCAGGAACAGACAGCATGGATTCACCAAGGGCAAGTCATGCCTGACCACCCTGACTGCCTTCTATGACAAGATGACAGGCTCAGTGGATGTGGAGAAAACAATGGATGTGATATACCTTGACTTTAGCAAGGCTTTTGCTATGGTCTCTCACAGAATTCTTGCAAGCATGCTGAGGAAGTATGGGCTGGATGAATGGATTGTTAGATGGATAGAAAGCTGGCTGGACTGTCAGGCTCAATGGGTAGTGATCAATGGCTCAAAGTCTAGCTGGCAGCCGGTATCAAGTGGAGTACTTCAGGGGTTGGTCCTGGGGCTGGTTATGTTCAATATCTGGTCAGAGAGATATTGCAATGCCAACTTTTTAATCAAGATCCTGGATTGGGACCCCAAAGTGGGAGGTGTTTAACAGGGCCTGGCCCTGTTACTATGGGTGTGGAGGAGCCTGAATGGCCCCACACCCACCCCAGAGCTGGAGGTACTCAACAAAGGCTGAGGACTCTGGTCCAGAGATGCAGGGAGCCTCCCCACAAGGGAGCTAACCCAGGTGTGAGGAATGAGGGAGAGCCAGCCAGATGAACCAGTAGTGGGGGAAATAAAAGACACTGAAAGTGGCCTCTGGGGGTTGCACCAGCTGGGAGCAAGGCTGTCCGGACCCGGGGGTTAGCCAAGGTCTGGCAGCTGCAGGGAGGGGCTGTGAGCAAGACTTCTCTTTTGATAGTCTGTTTGTTGGCACAAGCCCTGCAGGCTCTCAAAGCCTCTGAAAGGTAACAGGCTAGAGGGCAAGTGAAGCCTGGGAGAAGCCTGGGAAGCCGGAGGCATGAAACCAGCAAAACACTAAGTGGCAGTTTATTTGTTTAACTCTGATTCTTTTGCATCTCTTGCAAGCACAGGGTGATGGGGCCATAGACTTAACTCAGCTGCAGCTGAAGCCAACAGAAAAAGTAAAAGTGATCAGTTTGGGGTTCCTGACCAAACGTGTCTTGCTCTGCTCTGAACAAAAGCTACCCAAAACAGCATACACCAGGGGTGGGCAAAATCTGGACCACCAAGCCATTCTATCCAGCCCACGGGGTCCCTAAAAAAATTAGTAAATTAATATTTATTTGCTCCTGGCTGCCTGTCAAAACTGACAGGAGCCAGGGGCAGTAGGATCTAGGAGGAGCCCTCAGCAGGACTGAGCAGCCCAGCACTGCCCACCCCCATCCATTTCAGTCTCTTCCTGCCCTCGTCCTGCTCCAGCACCACGTGGCTCCCAGCTGCATCACTGGACAGGGGAGCACTGGCTGCACCAGTATGTACGCATGCACACACACACGCGCGCGTGCGCGTGTAGACAGGGGCAGTGTGTCTGTGTGCAGGCAGCAGCAGAGTATCTGTATGCTGGCATTGTGTGTGTGTGTGTTTATAGGGGGAGTCCAACATGCACACCCCACCATACACATGTACCCACATACCCCCTTGCACTGCCATACATGCACGCCCTCACACCTACACCTCCTCATTCACCCCAGCCACTTTCCCCACAAACCCCATACCCACCCACACCCCATATACTGACAGCTCCCCACAAATCTATATGCACCCCCCATGATATACAAGAGTAAGACTTCATTTTAAGCTATTGTGCAATCATTTCTATGTACACTAAGCAAACACATGTAAATCAGGAGAAAAATATTTTTCAGTAATCAAATTAATGAATGCTGTAGATGTTTACTTTTTAGAATATAATTTGGTATTTTTCTGGTTCCGAAATGGTAAAACCCCATGGTAAAAGGAGCACTTCTGGGGGCAAAGGGAGGGACTTTGGGTGGCAAAGGTCAGGGGTTAGGGGGCAGGACTTCCAGTCACAAGATGGTGACCAGGAGTTGGGGCACCTGTCAAGGGGTGTGGCTACTCATGTGGCCCTCGACAACTTGCCAAAACTTGGTAAGTGGCCCTCCACTTGAAATAATTGCCCACCCCTGGTGTACACCTTCCACCCCTAATTTTCTATGATTCTCTCAGAGTTTCCAGTGTAAATTAGATCAGAATCAGAACCTTTATATGGTATGTAACAATGTAAAAAAATACAATTTTTTAGATCAACACAACATGTCTAATATAATCAGGGAAATCCTGCGGAAATCTCTGTCTCATACACAGAGAGGGAAAAGAATCCAATAACTTAACAGTTAAAAGCTTCTCTGGTTTTGGCCTCTAATAACTCTGTCATGTGGTACTGATGCTGCTTAGGAAATTCAACAATCATTATGCTTAAGATGAAATTTGGAACAGGTAATTTTAGTGGAATGAAAGTTACCATGTAGCCCCCATCCAACATAAAATAATAAAAAAGAGTTTAGATGAGCATAGATGAAAATGATTACATTTCTTTAAACAAACAACTATTATTACTGTTGTTAAGGTAGCTAACAATTTAATCCAGGTTGGTTATGTTTACAGTCACACAAATGCAAAAAAGCTAAATGCACTACCTACCATATTCATTATAGTGAGGATGTAGGATTCCACATTGTCACTTCCATGGTATTCAATCATCTTACTGTCTGCAACTACAAGTGTCTCCACCCATCGCTCCTTGCTGACAGAGCGCCGAGAGAGAGTTTTGGCTGCCACATGGTTTCCTTCCCACCTCTCCCTCCGATGCTCTTGGTGTTTGAAAAAGCTGAAAGTATCTGAAACACCAAGCATAAGGCATTGGCTTCACATTAAATTGGTGATGGCTTCATTGTGCTTCAGGATGGTTTTAGATTTTAAAGTGTATTGCTATAATCCTTAGGCCAAAATTCTACAATCTAGAACCAAACTTTACCAAAAAATTAGGTATATCTGAATACTGCATAACGTCATAAGGACCAAGACTGACCACACAATTTGGATCTGACTATGCACCTTTAGACCATTTGTGGCATTTAGCCTCTGTGGGTTATATTTAAGCTGCTATCTAATGCAAACAACTCTTACCACAAAATAACTGATATGGTCTTCCTATTAATACCCACATACAATCCCCATTCTTAACAGGCTGGAGAGTTACCTTGAGTGCTCAAGGCATGTGCTTTTGTCAGGGTGGGAAGAGTCACAACTGGAATGCGGAGTGGGGAAACTACTTCACCAGCAGGTGGCACTCACATACCAGTGCTGGGGAGAACAAATTACCTTCACTTATGACGGGAAGGAGCTTACAGAACCACGGAGTCCAGTCCCCTGCAATCATTAGCAAACATTTGTTTGGAAGTGCCCACCAGCACCACTGTTCTGGCTCTTCTTACACACCACAGCACAAAGCATCCTATAAAAGAACTCCCAACTCCTACAACTTGCTTCAGAAAAAGAGCAGAGGCCTGAGGGCTTTGAAAGGCAAAGCAGCATTAGCAGAGAGATTTGGGTAAAGTCAATACACCCAGCTTTGAGGAGGCAGTGTAAGGTGCCCTTGTGGCAGTGACAGAAGGCACACTGCTGGCAGATGGACACACTGTGCAAACCATGCCACAAACTAAATACATAAAACTATCAGTCTTGTCCCAAAAAGCTTACTGTCCGAAGCGCATTACCCTGTTCTCCAAGCACTAGCCAGTGGGTGGAGGGGAACATTCCCTAGCCATATGCCCGATCAACCCGGTTCACAGCAGAAAATGGGTTAGTGGAACTTTTACTAGAATGTCCTGTTCTAGTAGACAGCCCTTGTGTTTAAGCAGCCCCATTCTGTCCACATCCTGCATGGGAACAACATGGGGGAGACAGCACTCCTCACACTTTCTCTTCTCCAAGAGGTCTCTTCAGGGTCAGGCAGAAGGCAGGATAGATGTGCACCTTATAGACTAATTAAATCAGAGATACATACACTTTTGTAAAAAGCAGGTTCCTTCATCAGATGTTGTGAAAGGACTGCAGGAACCAGAGCTTCTAAATAGAAAGCAGTTATTAGAATACAAAGGGTCAGGAAGTGGGGGGGGAAAAAGGAAGCAGCACAGTTGAGAGAGGCAAGGTGGGTAGAAGAGAGAAAAAGAAAGCGGTTCACAACATCTAATGAAATAAGCCTGCTCTTTTAAAAAGGTTATGCTATACATGTTTGATTTAGGTAGTCTATAAAAGGCAAGTCTGCCCTGCCTTTGGCCTGACTTCAGACTCACATGGCCAGACACTGTCTCTATTCAGCATCAGCCAAAACATCCTGGCTGCATGTTTTCATATGACTATGGTATGCCCAGATGCTCTGATTGTTCACAAGACATATATGTCATTATAGTACAAAGTGGCTTATATTAAGGTTACCATATTTCCAGTTCCAAAAAAGAGCACACCTGTTGTGCAGGGGGAGGGGGGCATGTGATGGCGGGGGGAGGAGCAGTGATAAGCCAGTGCCCTGCCCCTACCTATTTTGTTGCCCCTGACTCCCAGCTCACAGTCCCATCCCCTGTCCTGCTGCCGCCCCTCATTCCTAACTCACAGACCCCAGTCCTGCCAGTCCCAAACCTCAGTAACCCTACCCCGCTAGGCCATGCTGGTGCCCCTGACACCCAACCCGCAGCCCCTCGCTCCTGACCTGCAGCTCCATGCCCCACCCAGCTCTGCAGTGTCTCCCAGCCACCCCACCTCTGCAAGCAAAGGCACCAGCCCCAGTGCCACTGGCTGCGCCATGCAGGTCCCTGCTGTCCCCAGAGGGCCCCCCAATTCTCTTCCCCCACTAGAGGGGCAGGCACATCCTCTGCCCCACTATAGCCTCGGTGCCCAGACAGCTTCCCCCAGCACTGGAAGCCCCCCGCCCCACACACCCCCATTCCCTCCACAACCCTGCCACACACACACACACACACACACACACACACACACACACGTCAGTCCCCAAGACCTAGCCCTCCAACCCACTGACTTACCTGTATCCAGCTGCTGGGCTGCTCCCACCCCCTGCCTGGCTACATGCCCGCCACATGAGCCCTGCCTCCAATCACCATCCCCCAAGCCCCAAGCAGCTCCTTGCTAGGGCAAGCCAGGAAGTGGCAGGAAAAACTTTGAAGCTGAGCTGACCAGAATCCCAGACATTTGATTATATTTTAAAAACTGGCCGGACTGAGATTGGAGGATCTAAAAAGAAGACATGTTTAGGAAAATCTGGAAGTATGGTAACCCTAGATTATATTACATTTATGGAATAACTAACATCAGTCCAGCAGATGTGCTAAGCCTCTTCTAAAGACAGGAAAGACATGCAAAAACAATTTCATGCAAAATAAACCACAGTTACAATTTGATTGCATCTCTGCTTAGAAGTTTGCTTTCTGGGATTAGGAAGAAGCTGCCTAGGTAAACAAAGTTTTGTCATTATTTATGGATTATTTAATAATGTGAAACAACCACGCTGATACTCATTTAAGAAACCAAAAGAAGTTATAAAGGATACATTACTGAAATTATTATTATTACTATTAGTAGTAGTATTGGTATTATTAATAATAACAATATTAACATAATTACTATTATTAATAATAATAATAAGATCCAAGGCACATACAATAGCTACCTTACATATGGATATTCTCCACAGCATTTGGTATTGCAACAATACACAAATATTCATTATAATGCACGTGTACTAGTTATTGCACTACTATTATTTATAATGTGTGTTACAGTAATACTTAGATTTCATAGAATCAAGATTAATGTACTGGAAATGAGACAATTTTTCTCCACAGAGCATACTACATGGTTATTATTACCACATCTACCCAAATCCATGACAACTTTGAATTTATATATAATTATATACTTAATGTATTATAATTTTCCAAATATATGCAATTAATCTAATTATTGGAGTCTTGTCTCTCCATCTTAATCAAATCATTTTAAATTTGTCCCAACCATGGGGAGGAGGGGGCTAGATAAGCATCCTGATCCTTGCACCTTGTTCCCCTACCTCCTGTAACCTATCCTCCATTACTTGCCCCATGTCCGCGCCCCTGCCAGCTGCCCCCCACCCAATCTCCAACTCACACTGCTGCATGAATCCCCATTTGCACTGCTGCCCCATCCCCTCCAATATACTGCTGTTACGTTCCCTAACCCACGTATAGCAGCCCGGCCTTACGTGTTCCTCCCAGCATAGCAAGAAACAGAGAGATTGATGGTGGTTGGATGAGAAAGAAAACCCAGCCCTGAGAAGAACTAAGAGAAGCCCCAGGGGAATACTCTAACCTAAGGGGCAGCTGATAGTCAGCTGGTGAAGAAGCCAACAGATTGGCCTTGGGGGCTCCAGCAGGAAGATAAGAAGTAGCTGTGGGGATTGGAAGAAAGGAG